GATGATATTTAGTCTCTTATCTTGAATGATATCATTCCCTTAGTCTTAGATGGATAAATTAGTCTCTTAGTCTTGAAGGAAAATTAGACCTCTTAGTCTTGAAGGATATTAGACTCTTTAGTCCTGATGGAATATTTAGACTCATAGTCCTTGATGGAATTTAGTCCCTTCTTAGTCTGAGGATATTTAGTCTCTTAGTCTTGATGGATATTTAGTCTCTTAGTCTTGATGGATATTTAGTCTCTTAGTCTTGATGGATATTTAGTCACTTAGTCTTGATGGTATTAGTCTCTTATCTTGATGGAATATTAACTCTTAGTCTTGATGGGTGTTCAATCCTATAATCTGATGATATTCAGTCTCTTAGTCTTGATGATATTTAGTCCTAGTCTTGTATGGGTAATTCGTCCACTAGTCTTGATGGGTAGTTCAGTCCTTAGTCTTGATGGGTATTGAGTATTTAGTTTAGGGTGAGTAGGTGACTTTTCAAAAGAATCTTAAATTGATGTTCAGACCGGGTTACTTTAGTATTTACCGGTAATGAGTTCCAAATTTTGGGGTCCTTTATGTGCATATAATTTTTACAGTGGTGATATGGACACGGTACATCAAAAGTATATTGGTGTATTGTGTTATGGTCGTGTGACCTGTTAAGGTTGGTGAGAAGTTTGAGTGGAGGGTTTATGTTTGAGAGTAGTGTTCTATGTATGTAGAAGGCACAAGAATAAGTATGGATGTTTTTTACGGAGAGCAGTTTTAGACTTTTGAATATTGGGTGAGAGTAATGCCTCAGGAGTGGGATATTTATCACTAGACTGCAGCCTTTTTGGCTGGGTTATTAGTGGTCTTAGGTGATTGTTGTTGATCCCCACGCACTAATTCCATACGTGAGATAAGGGTAGATGAGTGGATGATGCAGTGCAAGGAGAGCTGATTGTGGAACATAATACCGTATCTTTGATAGTATGCCTACTGTCTTAGAGATTTTCTTGGAAATTTGTTGTATATGTGTCTGGAATTTCAGGCTACTGTCAAGGTGAAGTCCGAGGAATTTTCCCTCTGTGAGTCTTGTGATGGGTGATCCGTTGAGCGTTAAGTGGAACATTTGTAGCTCTGTTTCCAAACTGGATGAAATAGGTTTTGTCAGTATTGAGGGTAACTTTATTTATCATGGTGTGTGCAGTCCCTAGTCTTGATGGGAGGTATATTTAATTGCTTTTTTCACAATAAAGAAAGACAGGTGTTACACGTGTGTCTTATTCATCAACTTGTCATCATTGTACACCATTAATGTACTGAAACTTGTCTGACACAACAACTCAATGGAACTACTGCAAGGTGTCATGGAAACCTTCCAGGCCCTGTTCAGGACCCTCGCCGTCTTCAACACAAGCAGGCCCTCTTCTTCTAACATCAACGTTCAAGCACCAGCCCCAATTCCCATTCTACCATCAATGTTCAAACAACCAACGGCCCCGTTCATTCTACCATAATAATCAATCAACCAGCCCCGTTCATTCTACCATCAATGTTCAACCAACCAGCCGTGTTCTATCATCCCTCCTCAACCTACCAGTCTTTCCCACTCCTGAGCAAGGGCTCCTTGGCTCCTGACTGGCTTCTCTCCTCCTTCTCTAAGCCACGTGTACCTATCAATAAAGCCATGAAGGAAGCCCTGGGTTTCTCTCCACCACCAGTGGAACCCTTCATGCTGATGGTAACACCACTGACATCGTTACTGCTGGTACCGCTACTCTTGGTACCACCGTTTCTCAAGACAGTCCAAGAAACTAGTGACCCAAAATATCAAAGGTGAGAAAATATGTGGAATAAGAGAAAGAAAAGCAGTGAAATCATACAAAAGTAGAAAGCAAAGAAAAAAGGAATATAAATCCAAAGAAGGAAAGGGGAAAGAAGCGTAAGAAAATTAATGATAATTGGGTAATGGACAGATGCAAGAAGCAGGCTTAAATAATAATAATAATAATAATAATAATAATAATAATAATAATAATATCCCAAGTATAATTTCCTGTATTTTTCTTACGCTGTAGTTAAAACATTTAATATGCTTAACAGTTCCCATACAGGCGAAATTATTTACAAACATTATATCTCAGTCCATAACAGGAGTCGACCCTGTACACACTACATCAAAGTACGTAGTACTTACGCCACACAGCCAGACTCCAGATATAAATCTGGGGGCCTAGCCGAAGCTAAGCAGTGTATCCCATACCCCAGAGCACCAGCTTGTGATAAAGTTATTTCAAACAATTATATATAAATAAAGACTATATGGGGAAAGTAACAGAAATTCTTCTCCTCCGTAACCAGCGTGTTTTGTAAGAGGCGACTAAAAATGCCGGAGCAGGGGCTTGTAACCCCTTCTCCTTTATATAATACTAAATAAGGAGAAACTTTCGTTTTCCTTTTTGGGCCACCCCCGCCTCGGTGGATACGCCGGTGTGTTGGAAAGATATAATAGTATATATATATAAATATATATATATATATAATATGACATATATATAATATATATATATAAATATATAATATTATACGCGCACACACACACGCTGAGTATCAACCCCTGCAACCACAACTAGGCGAGTACATGAAAATATGTAAAACCGAATATTCAGTGGAAGGCCAAGATTCTCTCCCGTGGTTGTCAGTCCTTCGATCTCCAGTCCAGCGTTCTTACCACTTTATTACATAGGGTAATAAATACTGCTTCAACCAGGAGAAGCTTATCACTGGAGAGGTTAGTGTCAGTCAATGCCGGACTCGAGACAAGGGTTTTCAAGGAGGATTGCTTCACTCCATGTTACAAAAAACGCGATTCTAAAAGCTTAGAAATCTCCAGTGAATACAAGAAAGGACTGCCCTTCTAGCATCCAGCCTGTTACTGGGTTTTCCTAACAAGTAGTCAGTATCCTTGTCCAATTATCCATTAGAATTCAGTATGAATCAATAGTGCTTCAGGATTACAACTGGTAGGCTACTAACTAGAGAAATTAAAATTTAATAAATTTATTAAGTCTAGAGGTATATTATCAAATTTAATTAAATTAAATTAATCACAGTAATCAACAAAAATTAATATATCACTTCACTCGTGTTTTATACAATATATTGTGCTGAAAAGCACATAACAACATTTATAATTCTTATTACCGTCAGTACATAACATTTAATAAGAAATTACAAATATGTACAAGTAAGTTTTGTGTATGGTGTGTAAATGTGCTCTAAGTAGTTCGCTATGTCTCAAGACTTGACCTAACTTAAACAAGAGACTGACAAAGTCCTCAAATAAACTAACTTCTTGACCACTGGCAACCAAACAGTCTGGCTTGAACAATAAAAAGCATGCTAAGCCCAATAGCATACAACAACTACTGCGACACAGAATCAGGAACAAGGAGATAATATCACGACATCTAAGTAGGGACCATCTGCAGTTCCCCCCCAAGTCACAAACCCCATCCAAACTGAATACTAAGTCAGCATAAGAAAATCCCGACTGTGATAATACACAGATACAGAACAAATAGTCGAAGCTACAGCTCAGGAACCTGAGATATTTCGATTGTATGTGACACACAACCTCAGAACAACTGCAATAAGCTCTAATCTATACAATGTTCTTTGAACATAGTACTACAGAACTAACAAGAATAAGAGACTAGACAATCTTTCCAAAACCACCAAGAGAGACAAGCCAACTGAAACTTCAGGCGAGGTGAGGAACAACCCCCCCCCCCCTCGATCACGTGATAGCTCCGTGGACAGCTGCTGCTCAGTAACAATGAGAAGCCGGCAGGGAAACGAGCCACAAGCGATAATTACAGTAGTTAGACAATCAAGATTTGAACTGAGCACATATGTAACATCCTACCTCACAAAATTTAGCTAAGTCAAATAATAATAATATAAAGCAATATATTTACGATTTAGCTATTATCACAAATATAAGCAATATAAAATTATATGAAAAGGTGATAATTGTATATATACACATTATAATCATAATATACATTATATATATTGCAACCCATTCAGGGGTTGCAACACTCCAGCAACAGTGAAGGCAACACCGCTGGTCTGAGAACTGACACTCCACGGGATTGAGTCTCGATTTTCCCATTGAAATGTTACATTCGTTGATTACATAACTTTTGTTCAATTCGTAGTTTACGTGTTAATTCTGGTCCACTGAAAGTAGAATTACGTGAGTACTGTGTAAAATGTGTATACATGGGCTGTGTACATGGTATCTAAAAAATTGGTAAATGGTGATGAGGGGACATTTCGTTCAAAAATGAACTATCCTAAGCGTGTTGTATAAAAGGGTTGTGAGGATGTTTACAGACCTGAAATGAGAAATGGAAACACCCAAGCAGTTGTTGGGGGGAAGATGACAATTTCACCCGAACATAAGAACATAAGAATGGGGGGAACACTTGCAGAAGGCCTACTGGCCCATGAAAGGCAGGTCCTTATCAAAACGTACCCAATGACACCAGTCAAACCCAGCCCCTCCCACTCATATTTTTTGTCCAATCTTTTTTTTAAAGCTACCCAAGGTCCTAGCCTCTATCACCCTACTGGGAAGATTGTTCCAGGCATCCACAAAAGATTGTTCCACGCATCCACATCGACTGGTCAGTAACTCAAGATAACCCAGTATAGCCAATTAATACATATTATTTTCATTCAGGTCCCTCTTTCAGGCCCTCCCCCATGATGCAACCTCCCAACAGCTGACCAACTCCCAGGTAACTACAGTTAGGTAACAAGAGGCATCAGGTGTTAGGACACCTGCCCGTACGTCCCTTCTCACAGCGGGGATCCACCCGCACGTGCTTCTAAGGTCTAAGAGCCTAGATGGCTAACTACTGCATAAGAGTCGTCTAAGTAATGCATTTATATGGTTTCAGCTGTTCTCGACGATGATACTGAATTGAAAACGACAGAAAACACGGAGTACTCACCGTTTCCCTGCCTCGGACGCCTTCATTGTTCTCTGCAACTGCAGTGACGCAAACTCCAAGGAAAATCCTGAAATGCCCTCCAAGACAAGAGAAGTTTACCTCCAAGACTGTCGCTTATACATTCCAGATTATTTGTCTGTATCAAGGACTATTTTGTCTACATCCAGGACTGAATTGTCTACATCCGGGATTATTAAATCACACACAGGGTTGCTCAGTTCACACCCAGGGTTGTTCAGTTCACACCCAGGGTTGCTCAGTTCACACCCAGGGTTGTACAGTTCACACCCAGGGTTGCTCAGTTCACACCCAGGGTTATTCAGTTCACACCCAGGGTTGCTCAGTTCACACCCAGGGTTGCTCAGTTCACACCCAGGGTTGTTCAGTTCACACCCAGGGTTATTCAGTTCACACCCAGGGTTATTCAGTTCACACCCAGGGTTATTCAGTTCACACCCAGGGTTATTCAGTTCACACCCAGGGTTATTCAGTTCACACCCAGGGTTATTCAGTTCACACCCAGGGTTATTCAGTTCACACCCAGGGTTATTCAGTTCACACCCAGGGTTATTCAGTTCACACCCAGGTTATTCATTCACACCAGGGTTGTTTTAGTTCACACCCAGGGTTGTTCAGTTCACACCCAGGGTTATTCAGTTCACACCCAGGGTTATTCAGTTCACACCCAGGGATATTCAGTTCACACCCAGGGTTATTCAGTTCACACCCAGGGTTATTCAGTTCACACCCAGGGCTATTCAGTTCACAAAGCAGGGTTTATTCATTCACACCCAGGGGTTTTTCAGTTCACACCCAGGGTTGTTCAGTTCACACCCAGGGTTATTCAGTTCACACCCAGGGTTATTCAGTTCACACCCAGGGTTATTCAGTTCACACCCAGGGTTGTTCAGTTCACACCCAGGGTTATTCAGTTCACACCCAGGGCTATTCAGTTCACACCCAGGGATATTCAGTTCACACCCAGGGTTATTCAGTTCACACCCAGGGTTATTCAGTTCACACCCAGGGTTATTCAGTTCACACCCAGGGCTATTCAGTTCACACCCAGGGTTATTCAATTCACACCCAGGGTTGTTCAGTTCACACCCAGGGTTGTTCAGTTCACACCCAGGGTTATTCAGTTCACACCCAGGGCTATTCAGTTCACACCCAGGGTTATTCAATTCACACCCAGGGATATTCAGTTCATACCCAGGGATATTCAGTTCACACCCAGGGTTATTCAGTTCACACCCAGGGCTATTCAGTTCACCCCCAGGGTTATTCAATTCACACCCAGGGTTGTTCAGTTCACACCCAGGGTTGTTCAGTTCACACCCAGGGTTGTTCAGTTCACACCCAGGGTTATTCAGTTCACACCCAGGGTTGTTCAGTTCACACCCAGGATTGTTCAGTTAACACGTAGGATTCCAGGTTGACACCCAGGACTGCAGGATCACGCCTAGGACTGCAGGTTCACACCCAGGACTGAAGGTTCACACCCAGGACTGAAGGTTCACACCCAGGACTGCAGGTTCACACCCAGCATTGCAGGTTCACACCCAGCACTGCAGGTTCACACCCAGCACTGCAGGTTCACACCCAGCACTGCAGGTTCACACCCAGCACTGCAGGTTCACACCCAGCACTGCAGGTTCACACCCAGCACTGCAGGTTCACACCTAGGACTGCAGGCTCATACCCAGGATAGGGTAAGAAGGTGAGATTATATACAGTATTGGCAGCGTGTTGTTGCGGGAGTGTTGAGGAGGGGCAGGTCTGGCCACCACCAACACCAGCTCTGAAGACTGAACACACACACACACACTCACTCACCACAGTAAACACTGCTACCACCACCACCACACTCACTTTTACTCGTGTACTCCCCTCCTCCACCACCACCACCGGCCACTCACAACACTACCACCACCACCAGGAGACTAAACTGAGTCACCTCTGGTAACTGTGTCTTGAAGACCAATCTGTTGTGGTGGATGTCTTGAAGACTAGTCAATTGTGGTGGATGTCTTGAGAATTAGTCATCTGCAGCGGTTGTGTTGAAGTCAACTTTTCAATCTCCTCTTCAAATGACCCAATAAATCTTATGCAAATAAACACTGATCATTTGTTAGTATTACCAAACTTTGTTTCACCTCTACAAGATGTACGGTGACAACCTCCTGAAAGTCTTAAGAATATTCTATAAATTTAAAAGTATTATAGTTGGCAATTCTTCTTTAAAGAACACTTTATGGTTGGTAATTCTTCTTTAAAGAACATTTTTAAGGCTGGTAATTCTTCTTTAAAGAACATTTTTAAGGCTGGTAATTCTTCTTTAAAGAACACTTTTTAAGGCTGGTAATTCTTCTTTAAAGAACATTTTTAAGGCTGGTAATTCTTCTTAAAGAACACTTTTTAAGGCTGGTAATTCTTCTTTAAAGAACACTTTTTAAGGCTGGTAATTCTTCTTTAAAGAACATTTTTAAGGCTGGTAATTCTTCTTTAAAGAACATTTTTAAGGCTGGTAATTCTTCTTTAAAGAACATTTTTAAGGCTGGTAATTCTTCTTTAAAGAACACTTTTTAAGGCTGGTAACTCTTCTTTAAAGAACACTTTTTAAGGCTGGTAATTCTTCTTTAAAGAACACTTTTTAAGGCTGGTAACTCTTCTTTAAAGAACACTTTTCCGTCACTCTACAGATGTAATTAGTAAAATCTCAGCACTTACTCTTCTATAAACCTTGAACATAAATGTTAAGTATCACTGTTTCCACTGTTACCTACTGACAGTTAAGTGTGACCAGTTTTTCCTTGAGTACATGACGCACCATAACACTGTACAGAGCACACCCTAGAGAAGTTTATCAGAACTTGATGAAGTACGTCGCTGAGCGAAACGTTAGCAAAACGAATTTTTTTTCCTGCAACGTGTATTTGTTATGACTGAACATTAAAATGGTATAAAATACCGACAGATTGTTAGGTAAGACACATATGCAACAGTTAGGTATCTTTATTTCGAAACGTTTCGCCTACACAGTAGGCTTCTTCAGTCGAGTACAGAAAAGTTGATAGAAGCAGAAGATACTTGAAGACGATGTAATCAGTCCATCACCCTTAAAGTTTTGAGGTGGTCAGTCCCTCAGTCTGGAGAAGAGCATTGTTCCGTTGTCTGAAACAATATGAAGTTGAAGTGACAGGATGGAGCTTTTATATAGTGCCAGGAGGTGAGACGTAGGTTGCTTTGGGAGGGCAGGTCCCTCTCAAACCCAGCCGTTCTCACTAGTAGAGGTCGAAGTTGATGGTCTGTACCAAGATACCCTTGTGTTGCAGTGTCTGACAGAATGAACATTAAAATGGTATAAAATACCGACAGATTGTTAGGTAAGACACATATGCAACAGTTAGGTATCTTTATTTCGAAACGTTTCGCCTACACAGTAGGCTTCTTCAGTCGAGTACAGAAAAGTTGATAGAAGCAGAAGATACTTGAAGACGATGTAATCAGTCCATCACCCTTAAAGTTTTGAGGTGGTCAGTCCCTCAGTCTGGAGAAGAGCATTGTTCCGTTGTCTGAAACAATATGAAGTTGAAGTGACAGGATGGAGCTTTTATATAGTGCCAGGAGGTGAGACGTAGGTTGCTTTGGGAGGGCAGGTCCCTCTCTGTCAGACACTGCAACACAAGGGTATCTTGGTACAGACCATCAACTTCGACCTCTACTAGTGAGAACGGCTGGGTTTGAGAGGGACCTGCCCTCCCAAAGCAACCTACGTCTCACCTCCTGGCACTATATAAAAGCTCCATCCTGTCACTTCAACTTCATATTGTTTCAGACAACGGAACAATGCTCTTCTCCAGACTGAGGGACTGACCACCTCAAAACTTTAAGGGTGATGGACTGATTACATCGTCTTCAAGTATCTTCTGCTTCTATCAACTTTTCTGTACTCGACTGAAGAAGCCTACTGTGTAGGCGAAACGTTTCGAAATAAAGATACCTAACTGTTGCATATGTGTCTTACCTAACCATTTGTTATGACTGTTGTGGGCAGTACGACATTTGTATCCACATCTTTAATGTTACTGCAGCCCGTAGCTGTGTTTTCAACCACCTTGGTAAACTGAAGCATCATTCTGCTTCACACCAGCTGGCAGATGAGTACAGCAGCAGCAGCAGCACACGAAGCTGCCTTTCCACCTGGGGAGACATGAGCTTCATTAAGGCTGACATGTGATAAGTTAGCCTGTGTTCCTCTAGTGCTGCACCACTACGCTGCTGCTTCTAGGACACTTCCACACCTAAATAATCTGACAGCTCAGGAAACTTCAGGACAATTGAAGGTAGAAGGTATAAGAATAAAAGGACTCAGGAATATCCACTTAGGACATCATAGAAATATTTCATTCCTGGGATCTTGGTCATTCCAAATGACAAAAGAGAATGAGAGGACGCAGTACATATAGTGCAGAGATAGACACAAAGGCAGTATAATGCGATCTCTTACTGTGTGTGTTAGGTAAGACACATATGCAACAGTTAGGTATCTTTATTTCGAAACGTTTCGCCTACACAGTAGGCTTCTTCAGTCGAGTACAGAAAGGTTGATAGAAGCAGAAGATACTTGAAGACGATGTAATCAGTCCATCACCCTTAAAGTTTTGAGGTGGTCAGTCCCTCAGTCTGGAGAAGGGTGATGGACTGATTACATCGTCTTCAAGTATCTTCTGCTTCTATCAACCTTTCTGTACTCGACTGAAGAAGCCTACTGTGTAGGCGAAACGTTTCGAAATAAAGATACCTAACTGTTGCATATGTGTCTTACCTAACAATCTGTCGGTATTTCATACCATTTTAATGTTCGATCTCTTACTGTGTTCCACCCACACAGTGGGCCTTATTAATTCACAAACAGATGTACGTATGCAGAGAGCACATGAGTATATACCATTTATCTCCAAATATTCTCAGTAGGTCACTGGTGAAGATCAAGTGAAGGCGTCAGGTCATTTAATTTCCTCGTAACGTGGCACTGCCATCTTGGAACAGCCAATCACCTCTCAACAAATGTCCACAGGGGACATTCACTTTTAAATTTCCTCCCAATACTGACCGGTTTTTAGTGACCTGACGCTTTTTCTGATCATCCCCAAATGCGTTTTCTTTTGGGAGTGGCCAAAGTCCCAAGAATGAAAATATCATTAAAATGAAGTGTTTTTTCTCCACATTTTCGTATATGTAAGTTAAGACACATGGAACTTTTTGGATATCTTTATTGAACCAAATGTTGCACATGTGTCTTAACTT